GCACAGATCTGACAGGGGGCACACGCAGAGAATCAAACTCGCAATGTCCCACATACAGTATCAGATATCTGGTGCTCCTCTAGTGGGGTGTAATGAACAGTTCTCCTTGACCTGCAAGAGTTGATCATGATCAGAGGAGACAGAATGATTTGGCTGAAAACATGTCCTTGATGACGTATTTTAGCTGTCAAAATGACTGTGGGTTGTGCAGAACTGACACACACATGCTAAGCCTCCATGTTTTAAGGGGGATCCCATTGACATCATAACTTTTATACTCTACAAAATGTATAATCAATCCTCTAACTACAACCTTTAGAAAGATAAACCTCATTTACTTTATTTATTTATAAGCTTAATTCATCATGGGAACAAAAATGTCCCAAGAAGATCAGTAATTTTGGAATTATAACCCTGAATTTCATTCATTAAAAAAAAAAATATTTTCAGCTTAAACTACCTATTCAAACAACTCAAACTGAATTAATGCTATATTGTATGCAAGACTGCTTCTGCAAGCGTGTTTCGCAATCGAGGCCTAGAATAAAGTGATTCCAGTTCTTCTGCAAGTGTGCAAAAATCAAATGTTTGAATAATATTTGTTCAAAAGCAGAACAAACACACTCCAAATGTGGTCATTTATATACTAAAATAGGTTAAACAGTAAATGAAATCTTTCTGACTGACCTATTTACATACTACGGCCTCTTGAAAGTGTCCTTTCTAAATTAAAGTGTAAGTTATTTTAGCAATTTCCCATTTGCCACAGATAAATTAGGTGATGGGGAGCACGACCCAAATCCAAAACACTGTTTTGCAAATGGACATAAAAATATGCTCTGACCTGGTCTTGAGCATTAAAACATGCTGTCCTACCTGCCTGTGTTGTTCTCCTGAGCGCGCAGAACTCCAGCAAAGAAAGCAAATGAGTGGTGGAGAGAGAGAATCTAGTTAGGATAAAGGTTGCTGTCAGGAGTAATGGGGCTGGAAGTCTGCAGGAGCAGGAGGTCTGGTCTGTTTGCGCACGATCTCCTCCTCTTTGTCAGACTCCTCCCTCCTGTATTCACACTGTCCTGTATCATCTATGCCAAAGCTGTCGCTCCATCACTGGAATGTGGTCCTGAGCGTCAGAATAAAACAATGATCTCCCCTCCTCCCAGCGGTGCTCTAATTAAATTAATCCTTCTGACTGATTTCTTCAGCTGCCATACGCAACGCATGAACTGAGGCTTTCATCTCAAATACAGTGTGACCTATATAGGACGTCATAAACAAACAAGACCTTCTTCGAGCTTTATGACATCATCTGACATGTGAAGAATAAAACTCCCATAAAACATTTGCATGAGGGAAAGATAGCCTTCCGAAAGGAGCAATCTTCAGTTTGAACTATCAAATTATGTAATAGTTATTGCGATAAGCTGAGCGGGAACGATAAGCTGAGTGTGCACATTATGCAAAACATTAAGTTAAAGAGTAATTCTTTATTATGACCTGACCTTTTAATAATATGACGTATGTGCGCTCACTATCATCTGACAGAAGAACCATAAAAACAAAGCACTGTGCATAAATAGAGAAAGGTAGAACTGTACAGAAAACGTAAGACTTGGCTGTCTTAATATGTAGAAGCAGAATGTGTTTAAAAACTAACTGGGTTGCATTAATTGCATGGAATTTGGTTTTCAAAGGGTACTTTGAGGAAACATTTCAAATAAAGTATTGTTTGTCAACACACACCGTGCTGCTTTCAATGTTGTTATCCACCAACAGCTGAAATATGTAATATCATATTATAAAATATGTGCACAGCTCTGGCTCCCTCTTCTGACAAGAGTCTTGAAAAACACAGTGAAAGGTCACTCCATTTTTGCCTTGGGTACATTTAGAGCGGTCGTTCTCAGTCAGGGGGCCATGCCAAACTTCCAGATTTCCTTACAACCCTCTGTTATAACTAATTACCTAAAATAAACCTAAAAGGATAGTTGAAAATTCTGTCATTACTTACTCAGCCTCAAATTACTGTAAATTTGTTTTCTTCTGTTGAACAGACAGGACGATATTTTGACGAATGCTGCTACCTTTTAGCCCACTGACTTTTATGTTATTATTTCTACTATGCAAGTCAATGGCTTTCAGTTCTCAATATTATCTTAAAATATCATCTTTTGCATTCAACAGAAAAAAAGAGAAAGGTTTGGAACCACTTGAAGGTGAGTAAACAGTAAGTGCAATTGCTGGATTTGGTATTGCCCAACTGAACAGACAGCTGGGCAATACCAAATATTACGAGTGCGCTTATATTCGGTGTAATTTATAAGCCAAACAAAGGTTGCCTATTATAAGGCACTAAAAAAAATTGTCATGTGGGCCTACTACATCCCAAATGTTCTGAAGCCATTCTATAGTTTAATATGAAGCACAGATGAATATTCAAGTAGGTAAATTCATGTTCAGTTTAGCGCTTCCCGCCGCTGCGCCTGTCAATCGTTCTCCATTCATTCACAATTCAAACTGCATGTCGGGTTCATGACAACACGAGAAACTTTATCCAAGACTATTGGTTCCTGTTAGTTTTAATAATCAGTGAAGAAATGGATTTAGTTTTGCACTAAATGGGTTAATTTTGACATGCAACAAGGAGTACATTGCTGTTTCTAAATCATGTTGCGCTGTGTCTGCTATATCAGCATATTGCATTTGCAACACTGGAGTAGAGATGGTTATTACCTGCTCTTCATACACAAAGTAGGCCAACCTGAAACTTTAAATTAGAAAAGGCTCAATAATACATTGGACAGATCTTTTACACACTGATTTCTTCCCTTTGTGCTGCTATTTTGGAAGTGTCTGCAGATATGGGAGGGCTGTGTCATACTGATGTATCAAGCACTTCATTCATGTACCGGCTGCGCAGACACAACTCAGTTGGCATTTCTGTGTATGAATGAATGAATTTTTCAGACAAAAAATAATTTCAGACATGCTTTCAGTTTCTTCATCTCACTCACGGCGAGTTTAGGCGAGGGAATGTTTATCAAGTAAAACTGGCCTGAGAAGGATTAGTTTAGTCTGCTTCAAACCTGCAGGAAAATATCAGGCTTTGCTAAACGATTGGTTATTTTACTGACGATTAGGGACAATAGTAGTAGCCTATTACAGATTTCAAAGAAAAATCTTAATATTAAAAAAGAAAGATCACAGATCAATGTCATAACGAATGCTCAAATAATGTAGCCCATTGTTTATGGCAAGCATCATGTTTTTAGTTAGATTGTGCCATCTGTCATATACAGTAGGCCTATGGGTCTGTTATTTTTACTAACGAAGATAGAGTATTTGAGTTTATCACCAGAACTATAGAAACTGTATTATGTTAATAAAAAAATAAAAAAATTTAAAAAATAAAAAACGGCACAGTTTCGGGATCGGATCTGTATCGGTCGATACTCAGAATTTTGGTATCGGGATTGGATCGGTTACAAAAAATGGTATCGTGCATCCATACATTTTATTTACATCTGCGAGTGCAAATTACGTTAAATCCAGAAATAGCTTTCCCCTCAATAACTCCTGTTTACATGTCCCAGACGTGCTTCACTTTTCTTTATTACACTCTTCCCTCTCTTACTTCATTTCTCTTTGATCTGCATGTTACTGCTTACACAGCACCAGTACCCTCCTAAAAATGCCTTAAATACCTCTTAACACTTCAAAATGGTGGCAATGTGCTAGGGGAAGTTTACAAACGCATTCATGAAAGAAGTGAAACTTACAAGTGTCATCCTCTAGTTTCTGTGTATAATTATAAAGGCTAAAAACAATAAACTTTGTCATAATTATACAGAACTACTGTGGGTGATATAATACTTGATCATACAATACTATCCATATTGTGCCACACATATATATATATATAGAGAGAGAGGAAACTATTAGCCCTTTTATGAAATAGTTAAAATATTTTACAATTTTTCTCAAGTGCTGTTTAGTGGAGATATAACAGTTTTAATAACTAATTTATTTGTCTTAACCATTACAGCAGTACACAATATTTTTCTAGTTATTTTGCAAGATACTCTGCTTATAGTGCACTTTAAAATGTCTGACTAGGTTATAAGGTTAACTAGGTAAGTTAAATTAATCATTCAAAAGTCATTGGATAGCAGTGGTTTGTTTTGTAGCCAATTATATATGTAACCCACCGGTCCTACTGCACCCAACCCAGTCTGAGCTGGAATTGAACTGATGATTCTTTGCATGGGGGTCGGTTGCTCTAACAAGGAGGCTAACCAAAGACCATGGCACAAGGGTATGTTGCTAGAGCACCTTTAGAGGTCAGAGGAGTGAGGTTTACCTGCATAGCACTTCGCTAGCTGGCCTCAGTTACACTCTCCCCCACTAAACCTCACTCTTATCCCGGACGAGTCCCCACTGGTCCTACTGCACCCAACCCCGTCTGAGCAGGAATTGAACGGGCGACTTTTTGTATGGGAGTCGGTTGCTCTAATAAGGAGGCTAAAGACCATGACCAGTGTCTGTCACTAGAGTATCTTTTGAGGTCAGAGGAGTGAAGTTTACCTTCATAACACTTCGCTAGCTGGCCTCCGTTACATACATACATACATACATACATACATACATACATACATACATACATACATACATACATACATACATACATATACATACATACATACATACATACATACATACATACATACATACATACATACATATATATATATATATATATATATATATGTGTGTGTGTGTGTGTGTGTGTGTGTGTGTGTGTATATATATATATATATATATATATATATATATATTTTTTTTTTTTTTTTTTTTTTTTTTTTCAGGCAAACTAAAAAATATAAAACTTTCTTCAGAAGAAAAATATAGTAGGAAATATGGCTGTTAAACATCACTAAGGAAATATTTGACTTCAAATATCACAGGGCTAATTATTTAGTCTCTAAACTGTATTAGTCACTTACCCATCCTCCCTGCTGAATGATGAAGTCTGCCTGTGATTCTTCAAGGTAACGCAAACCACACTGGAGCAGAGCTTCTAGCGATTGACCCTTGGCCTGCAGGGCTTGTAACAATACTAAAGGTACCAACACCTAAACAGAACAACAAAGTCACGGAATACAAAAATTAAGCACTTATGAAAACATAATCTCTTCTGGGGGTATTGTGCATGTGTGATTACACTGATGTGTTTTGATCTACCTTGCTCCATCCTCCTTGAGCGTGAGAGGAAACCTCGTCCACTGCTGCTCTGAAGCATTCGAAGTTCAAGTCACTGCATGAGACACATACAAAATCACCACTTAGGACATTTCTCTGTATTTGGGTCTTCTAAAAACATCAAGATGACATATGTTGAAAGTTTTCAGTCAATATTTAAGTTAAATGTCAAGAATAGTCATTTGAACTCACTTAACGTGTCGTATAACTTATAACAACTGTGAGCAGGCTGTTTACACAATGCATTTTTCTGGTATAGACCTCTGCCAATAGAGCATCATTTGCTAGATTTTGTTTTCCAAAGACTAAAACAGCCAGGAAATTTTCACTAGACTTTTTAATGACCTGCTCAGAAGCGTATTAGTGGCGGAAAACAGGTGTGTGTCCAGGTCCCGAGAGACGCGGTCCCCCAATACTGCCAGACTGTCCTCTATCGAGCTCTCTGGATTGGCTGGACTGAACACTGGGGATGTGTGCTGATCAAAACCAGTCCTGGAAAAAGCTGAGAAATAAGAGAGAGAGGCAGATGACTTTAGAGATTCCAGATTTATTTTATTAATAAAATGCACTATAATAAAAAGAAGAAACAAACAAAAAAATCTTACAGGCTGCAATTTCCTCTTCCAGCTGCTTCATTTCATTTTCAATCTGTTTCTTCAGGCTGCTGTTTCGCTCTCTTTCCACTTCCTGTGTAGAATGGCTCTCTCCTGCAAAGAATAATAAATTTTAGTTATTACAAAACTGTTTTGTCCCCACCAAAATCCAACTCAGTTACTGTAAATGCAGGTTATGAATTACTATCATTTCGGTATTGACTTCTCATTTATCCAGTCATACGTTGCCATTGTTGTGCACTTTTCCCATTTTTTTCAAAATGTATTTATTTTTTGCCACATCAGCAACTTATGGCTATTTCATGGCAAGATCAATATACATAAACAAAATTACATAAGAACAACTTCATATTTTATTAAGAGATGATATACACACTTTTCCATTAAATTCATTATTAGATTTTTTAAGAAAGATGAGTTTGCTGAATATTCATTTATATAACTATATTATTCGTAGTGCAAGAGTAGATACTGTATACAATGTCATTCCATTTTGATGTTTGCATAAAATAAAACTTACAAAAGTGATTTTATTTACTGACATACTACTTAATTTTTCCTTATTTCAACCACAAAATATTAGAATATGGGTTAAATAATGTTCCAAACCGGCGACACAGTGGCTCAGTGGTTAGCACTGTTGCCTCACACCAAAAAGGTCACTGGTTCAAGTCCCTGCTGGGCCAGTTGGCATTTCTGTGTGGAGTTTTCAAGTTCTCCCCGTGTCGGTGGGGATTTCCTCCGGGTGCTCTGGTTTCCCCCACAGTCCAGAGACATGTGCTATAACTGAATAGAATAAACTAAATTGGCCGAAGTGTATGAGTGTGAATGAGGTGTGTGAAGATGTTTTCAAGTACTGGGTGGCAGCTGGAAGGGCATCAGCTGTGTAAAACATATGCTGGATAAGTTGGTGGTTCATTCCGCTGTGGCAACCCCTGATGAATAAAGAGAGTAAGCCGAAAAGAAAATGAATGTTCCAAACCACAAAAGTGTCATTCAGTGTAATGACCCTAACTTTAGTTTTACCTAAAGCTTACCTTTAGCTAAAAGTAAATTTGCTTTATTGGCAAACAAATGCCATCAAATCAGTGTTGGTTGTTATGGTTGGCTATATTTAAAGTCTGTTAATTTTTCTTTAAAACTTAAACAAAGGGATTTCTGTCCCAAATGTGCAGTTAATTAGAGGTTAAATCAATTACTTTAGATTAAAATCATGTCATAATAAGTCATTTTGGTATATAAACAACTGACATTTTAGTTGGTATCTTCTGTAAATCTTGGTTAAAATATATGATGGTTATTGTTTTTCTTAAAAAGAAGATCTGAATGTAAAAACATTACACTTTTTCCAAGTTTAAAAACACATTTTTTGTCCGACTCAAATGTGAATTTACATTGTTTTCTATTTTATAAATGACTTAAAAAAACATAGGTTTACCCATTATTACTAATTTCATCAGTATTGCTAATTGTAAGCATGAATAATGATTATTTGACATAAAAATATAAGCAAAAAGCAAAAAACCCACCTGGAAACTTCCGGTATCATAACCTTCAGCTGAATAATTTCCTGCATGACCAATAAAGCTTAAAAAAGCTGATGTGAGCCAAAAATATTGGAGTGTAACTCAGGGGGAGATTTAATTAATAAGCAAAGTAAACAGCCACTTAGGGAACCAGGAACCATTTTCTTTTAGTTGTGAATTTATTTTAAAAAAACATAATTAAAATGGAGATTTCATGAAGATAAATCATGGAAAAAGAGTGTATATATATAAAATTCTCATGTTTAAGCATTTCAGTTAAAGCTCCTTTTGCATTTTATCCTCTTATTCTCAATGATAATACATTATTACAAATTTACTTCATTATATATTAATACCATATAAAAATTAATTCGCAATACAGTATTTGTAACACAACCGGCTTTTCTGTAAAACCATAAACCATTGCAAGGCTGTTCATTCACACAATAGTAAATTATTTAGTCTTCATGAAGGACAGGCTTTCAGAGAGCAGCAGCTTCAACATTCAGCTCTCCAAACCACAAAATGACTACAAAAGATAAAATATTAAGAGTGGGACACATGTACAGAGAGAGCAAGAGCATGAGTGTGTATAAAAAAAAAACAGTCAATAAAAAAAGCTACCAATATTACAATAATAGTCGGGATCTCACGCCAACTTTCCCAGGCTGGGTTTGTCTTTGGTCAGGTTTGGGCTTGACTCAGAACCAGTGGCATGTGAACAAGGCAACGCTGATCGCACATGACAGTCTGTCAGAGTGCAGAGCGGGTCGACTGGAAAGAGGGATCAGAAGCTACTTTCAAAGCTGACTGAATGAAAACCAGAGCAGGACATTCCTCATTGAACCGCTGATGTGCCCAAGGCTCCAAAATCTCCAACAGACAGCTTAAGCCCATACCATCCTCTGTGCTAAAGTCAACCATGTTAACGCTCAATGACATTATGTATGTGCACTTTTTGAAGTCCACAAAGACTTAAGAGTCTACACATAGATGAAACAAATAAATACATGCATGTACCAAGAAGTCAATATACTCTATGTGAGAGTCAGCATCATATAGAGCCTACTAAAAAGCATACGGTGAGAATTGGTCAACAGAATGAAGCATAACTGGACCAAATCTGCCAACCTTATATGGACTGCCATGTGAGAATAGACATTAAAGGATTTGTTAATACATTACTTGCAATACCTGCAGGCATATTTCAATCTAATTGCACTAGAGTATGCAGCACCTTGAGTTACAGTCCATGCTCAAAATGGAGACTCCTTGACAAGGAATTTGACCTCAGTATGTACGGACAAACTCTACAAGCAACTGAAACTGTAATGAAAGTTTTTAACCTCAGCCAAAGCAAACAAGCTGTATGGATTTTAGCAGTAGAAGTGATATAGCCATTATTTAAATACTGCAAAAGAAAAACACTATTACAAATTGCATATTTACAATTAACCATGGTGTGCTGCAGGGCTTAAAATTAGGACCAATTTCATTTTCAATTTATAAGTTACTTATTTGGGACTGAGCACCGGTGGTATGAGGTCCTATTGGAATTTCTGTTTATTCTTCGTCTTCCATAAAATGGATCGCATTTTTGAGGGTCTTAACATGCCTGAAAACTCACAAACCCTTGCACACTAGCCAGAAGTGACGAAAATGACTAGGGTTTCAGAAGTGGGTGTGGCAAAATGGCTCAACAGCGCCTACTATGCACTTTGACGAAGTGGCCCCAAGCTACGTTTTACGCACATATCAAAATTAGCACACACTTCAAACATACCAATACCTACAAAAAATTGAAAGTCTGACATTTTTTAACTTCCACTGAAAAAAAAGTGCAGTTTTTGTCATGTCCAGGCATTGTACTTTAACAAACTCCTCAAAAGGATTTGATCAGATTCACTTGGTGATACTAAATTGTGAAGATCTAGAGTTTTCCTCAAAGGGCATGTTCGTGGGAGCTTTACAAAGTTCAGTGTGTAGCCATCGAAGAAGTTCTTTAAACTCATCCACTGCTCTCTGTCAACCAGGTGGAAGTGAGCCCTGGTGCGAGGTCCCTTTGATCGCTGCTTTCAGCTTTAATTGGATGTTGAATTCTAAAACATTATATAAATTCGATTTACATGTAGGGCTGAGCGATTTTGACTAAAATTTAAATCTTGATTAATTGAATATTTTGACTCGATTCTAATTAATGAATGATTATTTTATTTATTACAAATATTTAAATGTAAATAATAGTTTTAATGTAATGAAAAATATGCCGTCTCAACACATCTCTGGCACAACTTCCAATCATCGTGAATGTAGTGAAGGCTCGTACACACCAGGACACTTTTCGTTTGCGTTTATAGTCAGCATTTTTAGGGACGTTTTTCCAGGTTCGAACCCCAAGCGATTTTCACTGGCGTCGAGCAGAAGAGTATGAAAAAATCACTCCTTGACGTTAGATGCTGCTAGACAACTTTAAGCTTCTACCCGCTTCTAACACAGAAGAAGACAGAAAGTTGACACACTTCTTGTTAAAATTATTGGCGATTCAAACAAGTATGGATTGTTCAAGTAGCAGCTCCAGCTCAAGCGATGAATAAATAATTATTGTTCACCAGTGCAATAGGCAGCTCCATGTTTGTATCGCCTCTGGGCATCTTCTTCAATGTGCGCTCACATTGACAGTTTTGCGCTTGAGCGCCTTCAAGTGCTGTTTACTGTAACTTCAGCAGCTCCATGCATATGAACAAAAGTGCTAATCTGATTGGTGGAAAAGGTTTTGACGCAGCACATTAAAACAAAAAACGAGCATGAGGCGTTTCCTTACAAATTACGTTTTTATGCCTGGCAATTTGCGCGTTGGTGTGCACGATCACATTGGTGCCCTTTATTTAGTCACGAGGCATTAAACATTGACGGAAAACGCGAACAAAAGGCATCCCATTGTGCATGGGCCTTAAGGCTCAAAAATAGGTCTATCGTCCTACTTGACCAGAGATCAGATGTGACAGCAAAGTGGTCGCAGAAGTTCAAAACAGAATGGGGTCATGAGACTCCACACACGGCAGGGGAACTAATAATAAAAAAAATCAACCTGGAAAAACTGGATCGATTATAGATTCTGTATGTCAATTTCGATTAATCGCCATTTCTATTTATATGTGATTTACAGTTTTTTGTTATGATCAAAATAAGTTGGTACTTAAAATATTGAACCCTAATATTCAGTAGGTAGTTAATTTGTCTATTTTGACACCAATATAAACTGTGAAAACTGTGTTAAGAAGTTAAAAAAGATTTCAAGGTGAGACTTTTTAGTTTTCAGGTTGAGAGTTCTCTAATTCAAATGTTTAATTTTTATTACACATCTAACTCAGAAATGAAAAATTATATGAATTGGGACTCAGCTAAAGTTTTTGTCTTGCGTTGTTTTTGTAGTAAAAAAAAATAAAAATAAAAAATATCAACCATATATAACATACACAACAATTTTCCTGTTTAACAAATTCACTCCAAAATAGCCCAACACCCCTGAAACTCCCACTCATCTATTTAATATCAAATCTCTCATTAATAAAACAGACATCATCATCAACATACATTTTCCAACATTACATGCATTGCTTTCTCTTGCCATCAGCCTTGTTTATTTTCAAAAATAACCATTCGATGGTCTGTATATATTTTACTCAGCATTTTTCAGAACAGTTAGCAAGTTGCAAATCCACTGCAATGAATGAACATGTTTATATATCTGCCAACAAGAAAAATGCATGAACGAACTCTGTGTACTTCGTGTTTTCTATTTTTGAAAGCATTTCAATGCAACAATTTTAGGATTCAGACTTTAAAATTAGAAATCAGCTAATGGGCTATATGCACAGCTAGTGTTTTTCAGCCTATGATCAACTTCCAGTGAAAGCTTAATGTGACTATTCAGTTAATATTAACATTCAGTTAAATAAACGTGAGCATTCATTTATTTGTTTAAGCGTAAAACAAGATGAAAGACTGCGCAACCATGAGTGCTGTCAGGATCAGCAGGCCAGCGCAGAAACTCCATTGAAAATACTGGGGTAAAATAAACTGTCAGATTTTAAAGACATGGAAGGGAAAATTTTAATTTAATTCAGTGCTTCTTGTCTGGTCTGACACCCACTTTATATTGTATATCTATCAGGCAGTGAAGATTGCTGATATTCAAAGAGACCAGTCCTTAAATGTGGCAATTTTATAATAAAATGACAGTTGACCGGAAGCGATGAGACTGGTTGGTTAAAGTAAAACGTCTGTGTGCATATAGCCCATTCCGACAGCATGTGAATGCAGCATTTCTTCTCTCAAGCACATACAATAGGCAATTTCCATGCAACATTAGGTCATTTATAGCTTAATTTTAAAAATTGTGTGTTCAAACCACTGAACATAGTTATCTATGGCCAGCATTTTGCTTTAGTTCCATTGCTTCAACATAAAACTGTGCTGCAAACTTTTTCCCATGTACACGAACAGAAAATGTGATTTCTGGCCACATTACAATACACAACTGCTTCCTGTTTTCTGGTATAAAGACGAAGTGCATTCTTCTGACATTGCCCTGAGATCAAATGAAACTTGTTTCTTGCCAGACAGGCATTTTATATGTGGGTCAAAGGCAAAAAGACCATCAAAACAATTATTATTCTTAATTAAGTATCTTCATTAGAATGCGTTTCACTTGATTTCTTCCCAGCAAATATTGACTAACCTACACTTTTTGTTTTACAAAAGTGGGAAGACACCCACTACAATGTTAATGTAAAAACATCAAACAAACAAGAATCGGGTGATAAAATATTACAACTATCTATTTAATATAACAGTGTAGCCCCAAAACACTAATCAATTGCAAAAAAGACTTTAAACACTTAAAATACAACAAAATGCAGCATTAATAGTTATTCTTGTAAACATTACCCCCTTTCACACAGTGATACCGGTAAATATCTGGAAAATTTCCGGAACGACTTTACCGGTATATTCAAAAAAGCGCTGTTCACACAGGAGAGGACGTTACGGAAATTTTCCGGAAAAGAGCATTCACACATCCATTCCAAAATACCGATAAATTCTGACATCATTCACCACAAATGAGCTTTAAACGGCTGCGCTTGTATATGTAAACATTTGACTAAATTACAAACTCTGTGGATGATCAATATTGTGAACAACTTTCGCAGGATCACTTTGGCATGTCGAGATGTTCATAATATGTGCGTGTGCAGGCGCTCACAGGCTGAAGCTTGAAGGTAAACAAACATAAGCATCTCATCGATGATTTGTTACACAGTTGACATAAAGAAGAACATATAAACATGATCTGACTAACTTCTAGCAGCTAAATGTGTCTGGAAAAATATTCAAAGGTTTTTATTCTCACAAACCGCGCGGACGTAAATGCGTCTGACTGTTGTGATTGGCTAAAGCAGACGTCTCACGTCAGCACGTTCTAGACGTGCACGCGCTTATTACGGGAATCTTCCTTCTGCATTCACACAGCGCAGCATTCCGCCAAATTGCCGGTAATGTTACAACTTCTCTTTCCGGAAAATAGCCAGAACGAATTTACCGGTATTTTCAAAAAGGGCCTGTTCACACATACAACCTTTCCGGAAAATTGCCGGCAATTTTCCGGAAAGGTCTGTATGTGTGAAAGGGGCTATTGATAAGTACAGTACAAAATAATTATGTTTTATATTATTACACAAATAAATCAGTTACACTTACAGAGTATATACAGGAATCAGAGAGTGAAATTCAATACCTTTCAATAAGACTCTTTCCATTCATTTTAAGACTTTATAAATCTACTTTTCAACCGGAAACACTGGATAGATTTTAACATACAGTATATTTACTAAATTTAATGTAAGAAACTAAAGCATCATTCAAATACTGAATAAAAATCTATTAAATCTAGCTAATCCAGCAGGTTGGCGCCTATAGAATTGCAGAAATAATACTGTTGCCTTGGTTACTACAGTAAACAAAACAGCATTATGTCAAATCTAGCCGGATATTATTGACTTTATAAACTACACAACAGCCTGATATTCGCAGAATTAATTCAGGCAAACTTTACTATACAACCACATATTGCATTAACATTTAATACCTTGCAAAATAGCATTTAAGACTTTATACTTTAAGGGCCTTAAATGCCTCTATATTGATTTATCAACTTTGATAGTTTTTAAGGCCCTGCGGACATCCTGACGATTTAACATTATTTCCCCTAATTTATATATCTTTTTAACACAAGTTATTAAAAAAACTTCTGTCAATTTAACCTAATGCAGAGACAAAATGGGACACCTTATCTTTGACCACATGCTGACTTGTGGTTGTGAATTCTTACCCTCAGCCGCATGTGAGGGTCTTGATCTTGATGGCGAGGGCAGGCTGAGGTAGCTGAGGATGACATACTTGGTCTCATAGTGAAATCCTTCAGGCACTGTGGTGGAGGAGCCAGAGGCAGCCATTGAAAAGAAACGTCAGGTTCTCAGAGACATGCACGACCAAATGACAGTGTTCACAAGTCCTAGAAGCAAACAAACAAAGTTAACACCAGAATCTTCTCACATTCGATTCAGGGGAATATACACTATGTTTTAGTAATTTTTAGCAAGTATGTGTATATAAAGTTAAACTCTTATGACTTCACTAGAATGACTTTGAGAATGACAATGAGATGTTATGAAGAATCTGCCAGCCTCACCATTCTTTCATACTTTAATCGCAACTTTGAGCAAAAGTGTTTGCGACTGTCATTCCGCCAAGTGTTTAATCATGATAATAAAAACTATAAACATTAATGGTGGTTGTAAATGATACTGATTATTTTAACAGACATGCATAACAGCAATTAGAACTCTACAATTATTTTGTTTTCTGCTTAACTGCACATACATTTTTAAACAAATAACATTGCAAAAGACAGACTAACACTTCATAATAAAATCTCATTATTTTTTTTTTATTGACTTATAAAGTCTCATTAGGAAGTGGTGTTAGTTAATGCATTAACATCAATGAGAAATAGCAACATGCTACATACATTTTGAGGGGGTATTAAACATAACCTAAGAACATAACATCAACTAAGTTTTATAAATGTGTACCAGTTTACAGAAACGGTTAACTTATGTAAAATAATGTCACAAAACCCTTGACTGTTTGACGTGAATTCTTTCACATGCAACATCCCTACCAACACAGTCAAACCTAAAGTTTCTCAAGTTCTTCTCACAATGACCCTTTCAAAACTGGACAGTTCCTACAGCACTGCAACACACATTCCGCCAGGCAAATGTCCCAAGAGTGCCAACTGGCTTGAGATATTTGTACACATGAAGTCCACAACATTTACCAGAACATCGTGTTCAATGTAACGCACGCGGACACGCACAGAAGCTCTCTCTGCGTGCTTGCCACACCTACTCATGCCCGAGCATTCAGCTAGCCGCTAAAGTTTAAACATCATAACCTGTTAGTGTCACTCATAACATAACATGCTATCGGTTTAACGTGAACATGCTGTGACTTAGCTTGGATATATCGTACCTCTGCGCCAGTGACAAATTGTTCTCTCAAAGCGGGGTGACAAACGTGCTCACCCGGTTTCTTTCACAGTTAAGTAACTATACAACTGTAGGATGGCGAAGTGTTTAACGTTCGACATGCGCGTGCGTGCGGTCCATGCTGCGCGTGTGCGGGAGGGCGAAGCCGTGCTCGTGGCTCCGCCTGCTGATCTGACGTGGAAACGAGAAGGTCAAGAATAGAGTTGGGAGCAGAGAAAAGATTCATTACCTGCTCCATTTTTAGCACATTTTATTTGTATTTACGTTAACAGTTCTGGAACATACTTGGTTCATGGTTCTTTTTTTAGTGAACTGTGCAGCGCCAACCACAGTAGTTGGGTAAACGAACGAATGACTCTCATGAATCGATTCTTTTTGAATCAACACCAATCAACAAACACTGGACTGGAGTTTCTTTCTTTCTTTCTTTCTTTCTTTCTTTCTTTCTTTCTTTCTTTCTTTCTTTCTTTCTTTCTTTCTTTCTTTCTTTCTTTCTTTCTTTCTTTCTTTCTTTCTTTCTTTCTTTCTTTCTTTCTTTCTTTTCTTTCTTTCTTCTACAATAATTTCTTTATTAGCATGACAAATGTTAAAAAATAAAAATGAATTTACAATGATTCGTTTCTAGCTTCTCATTCTAAAACTTTGAATTTCTATGACGTTTTATTACATTCAAACTTATTTTTTGCTCATTCAAACTTCTTATTTAAAATGAGTTGAAATAACACTATTGAGTGTCTTAATATTTTTATGTTCAATCCACATACATTTGTTTAAAGTGTTAAGTTAACCTAATGAATTTGTGTTGGGACAACATGAATGAATTGTGTAAAAGCAGAACCCTGCATTTTTTACAGTGTCACAACTTTTCAAAATTATATATAGCTTTTTTTTTCGCACAAATTTTTCCCACTTGCTTTTAGAAATTTAATTCTGTTACTAAATATGAACGTGCAGGCCAATAACATAAACAAAATACACAGGATTATCAGTGTTTTTTATGAGCATAAATGTGTATGTGTGTGTGTTTGTGTTTTTGTGTGTGTATGTGTGTGTGTTATAAAATGAATATGCTACTTTATATACTATTCATATCATTTTATATTATTACACAGTATTTTACCAATAATCTAATATAGAATTTAATGAAGATATGAAATCCAACTTGTGGTCCAGATGCAACATATGCGTTTTCATGCCATTTCACTGCATATATCTTTGCTGCCCTCAAATGGCAAAAACCTGCACATGTAAGTAATTTTTTTTAATTAAAGTGAATCACTTTTGTATCCATTCAAATTAATCTGTGTATCAAGTTCACAAATACAAATACAGGAACTTTTGGTTTTACATTTGTCATGTGATAATTATTATATGTCATGTGATGTATTATTATTATACATTTAATTACATTACCTTACATGTAATCACTAAATTATCATCACTTAAACTTTTTTGATCAACATTAAATTATGCATTAACTAACAAGTACATACATTTATAATAAATAATATGAAATATGTATTAACTATGCAACTGTTATAACTAATTTAAAGCATTAACTAGTGTTAAAATAACATTTTAAAGTTATTAGCATAATGCAGGCCAAGTGTTGAAAGTTTAATTAATTACAGTAATTTTTTATTGTTAGGTCATTACCAGAGTAGTAACAAATAAAGCCCCAATTTGTTTTCATAATAATATCATATCTACAATAATAAAATATATTGTCAAAATAAACCGTTTGAATATAAGAAATGTGTTGCAGGCCTAACACAGGCTACTGCCAACTTTTTAAAATTGTGTTTTGTTAACATTTTTAAATAGCTTAAATATAATGTGAGCATCTCTGCAGAGGAATTTCAAGAACTTTAGAACGTAATTCATCGTCGACATCTCCTTTATAATTCGTGGCCAGTTAGATGTGTGATCAGCAGTGCTTTTGTTGGTGTAAAGTACAGGTGTTGATAGGGTCAGGGTCTCTCAGCGAGAAAGCAAAGTAATCTGTGTTCACGACAGGCTCGACCCTCAAACAGCACCGACTCCCATCGACCACACGGCGGAGCTCCATCCTAGTTCCTACGAGACGCCTGTGGGTGTCCGAGAGGGTAGAGAGAGCAGAGGCGATAAAACAAAGAAAAAGAGACAGAAAAGGGGTGGACGGTTGGACGCTTTACTACTAATTTATGTTGTTAATCTGGGCAAATCCACTCATGGTGAACTGGTGAACCAGGACGAGGCATATCGAGGAGGTGACGGTAAACATCAAGCTATAAACAGTACAAAAAGTCTCTTAATCCCTTGTAAACATCACTATTACGTATAAAAATGCAGATTATTACAATATGATACATTTAGGTTAAACATAGTTCGAAGAAGTTTAATGTTTTAAGAACCAAACTTATTCTTACATTGCATTGGGCTAATATGAGGAGGTCTGTATGCAATATTACATGAAATATAATCTCATTAAATCAAAAGTTTGCTTAGCATTCCTATCTTTAGATCCGACATTGTGTGCAATGTACACTCAAAAAATAAATTTTTGCTTGTTCAAACTACTCATTAAAATGAGCTAAAACAACAATTCTTGAGATTTCTTTGGAACAACTTAATTTTTTATGTTCAATCCACATAATTTTTTTAAAAGTGTTAAGTTAATTTAATCAATTTGTGTTGGGACAACATTGATGAATTGTGTGGATCCCTGCATTTTTTACAGTGTACACTCAAAAAATGTCCTTTGCTGCTTGTTCAAACTACTTGTTTAAAACGAGTTGAAACAACACAATTCTTACGTTTTTTAAGGGACAACTTAATTGTTTCAAATTCAATCCACTTAAATTTGTAAAAACAATTAGGTTAACTTAATTGATTTGTGTTGGGACAAAATTAATTGCATAGAACCCAGCATTTTTTTACAGTGTAGAGAACAACAATGATAAACTTCTTCTCCTTCCAGTAGTCCTGATGTTCTCCATACTTGTTCCCCCAAGTTGTGGATGTTCAGCCTCAAGATCTGAAGATTTTATTATTAAGTCTTGCATGCCATACTGAAAGACACTTCAATCCTTCATTAAATACTACTAATTTAATACTATTTACTGCGTAACTAATTTAACTGCATTTCGTTGCATTGTACTTATTACATTGTACGTATTATAGTTGGACTGTCCCGCTTTGAGGTGGCTTATAAGGCCTGAGCTGTACCTGCATTATACTTCTGCTGGACTGGCAGGACCATCACATTGTGGTCTTAGATCGGCCCTCACCCTGCGTTGATTTTTGGCAGCATTACGATGGCGTCTTCATGGAGGAGCTTGTATGTCATTTCATGCTGCAGCCTGCAGATAACAAACGCAGCTGTTGTGTGCTGTTCCAGGAGGGTCCTGTATCAGGATGCAGAACTTCCTTTTCAACACATACCCTGATTAATTGACAATTTGTTTAAAAAAAATTGTCAACTGATAAATAAAAAGTAGGGTCAGCTTGAAAAACGATAGCCAATAGAAGTTGATTTCCCACACCACTGATCATAAGTAAATCACTGTTTAGACTTTGACTGATTGTCCTAATATGTTATCCAAAACAGTAATACATTACTCAGACTACATGAATGCTGAATACTAGATTGGCTGGTGCAAGGTGTGCTGTTTTTTTTAGATAATTGCATGGCTAAAGTAGTTCCAGGCAGGTCTTGATAGCATTAAAGTTACATACACAGTGCATCCGGAAAGTTTTCATAGCGCTTTACCTTTTCCACATTTTTATGTTACAGCCTAATTCCAAAATGGATTAAATTAATTTATTTCTTCAAAATTGGAAAAATCACATGTACAGAAGTATTCACAGCCTTTGCTCAATACTTTGTTGATGTACCTTTGGCATCAGTTACAGCCTTGAGTCTTTTTGAATATGATGCCACAAGCTTGGCACACCTGTCTTTGGGAATTTTTGCCCAGCCCTCTTTGCAGTACCTCTCAAGCTCTATCAGGTTGAATGGGAAGCGACGGTGTACACTATAGCCATTTTCAGATGTCTCCAGACATGTTCATTAGGATTTAGGTCTGGGCTCTGGCTGGGCCACTTAAGGACATTTACCGAGTTGTTGTAAAGCTACTCCATTGATATTTTGGCATGGGTCATTGCCCTGCTGGAAGATGAACCGTCGCCCCAGAGGTCAAGAGCACCCTAAAACAGGTTTTAATTAAGGATGTCTCTGTACATTGCGGCATTCATCTTTCCCTCAATCCTTACTAGTCTTCTAGTTCCTGCTGCTGAAAAACATCCACCAACATGCTTCACTGTAAGGATGGTATTAGCCTGGTGTTGAGCGGTGCCTGTTTTATTTTCAAATGTAACACCTGGCATTCACTCCAGAGGGTTCATATTTAGTCTCATCAGACCAGAGAATTTAGTTTCTTATGGTCTGAAGTCTACAGACAATTCCTTTATCTTCATGATTGGTTTGTGCTTTGACATGCACCGAGGGACCTTATATAGACAGGTGTATGCCTTTTCAAATCATGTCCAATCTGAATTTACCACAGGTGAACTCCAGTTAAGCTGCTGAAACATCTCAAGAATAATCAGTGGAAACAGAAAGTAGCTACACGGCAAAGGCTGTGAATGCTTATGTACAAGTGATTTTTCAGGTTTTTTATTTTTAATAAATTTGCAACAATTTCAAAAAATCTTTTTTCTTTTTGTCATAATGGGATATTTTGTGTAGAATTTTGAGGAAACAAATGAATTTAATCCATTTTGGAAAAAGGGTGTAAAATTGAAAAAGTGGAAAAGTAAAGCGTTCTGAATAC